GATTTATTTTCAACTCAAAATATCTTCAAACTAATGAAATATAAAGTTATTAGTAAAGAAAATTTGTCTGGATAACAGAAGTCTGACTGCGCGTAAAATATACGACAGGTCTGGACCACTCGTGAATTTTGTTCGTATCTGAAAAAAAAATCTTACAATATGAGAAAGTTGGTGAATGCCACAAATTCTCCTAAATCACTCGTACGCACAACTTAAGAACAAATCTGTGCGTACGAACGGTTCTTACATGTGGCCCAATGAGTCTTGCACTTAATGTGCTTCTGTGACTCCTAACAGAAGGACATTCAGTCAATGTCATGTCAAAATCATACAATGAAAAAGCATTTTCCTGCAACATGTGCACATTACCTGAAATGCAGTATTTTTTTCAGGGTCAAAGTTTGTGTATAATAGCCTGAGGCAAAAAGAAAAATTTGTGTTTAGACAAATCATTGTCCTTACGTTCAATATCTCACAAAATGCACGAAGCACCCACCGCCTTCAGATGAATGTGCTGTAGTGTATGGGGTGCCATAGTAGTGGCTGTAGATCACATCTACTCAAAAAAAATTTGTTGAATTTACTTAACAAAATTATGTCAAGTGGTTCCATTCAATCTAGTTGAGTAAATGTAACAAGATTTACTTGCATTACTTGTGTAAATATTATTACCTTTACGCAACTTGGTTGAGTGGAAACACTTGACATAACTTTAAGTAAATTCAACAAATCATTTTTGAATGTATTTACCCAAACCAGCTCCAGTCCCACTGGTTTGTGCTGGTCCTTGACTGCTCTAAAATTAGGCTCAAGATGTTTTAGCTTCTCCTTGCTCTTCGCCATCATTTAGAAAATCTCTGCAAATTCTCTTGTTTTCAGTTCACTCTGTTTATGAAGGTACACTGGCGAATCAGTGACTTCCACACACTTCGGCACTCCATGTCCCAAACAGTGCCGATATCGCAGTCCAAGGAGGTTCAACAAACAACAATGATTTTTAAAGGTAAATCAGGAAAATTAATAAGGGTGCCCAAACTTTTTCATATGACTGTATATACAGTAATATGGTGATAGTGCATTAGCACCTGAGATAATATTAGAGACTAGGGGTGCAACGATACAGAAAATTCATGATTCGGTTCGGTTCAATACTTTAGTCTCACGGTTCTGTATTTTTTCGATACAAAAATGAGAAATTGTCCATGCACTTTTTAACTTGTAATTTATTTAAATGAAATATGAACCTTTGTTTAACCTCAAAAGAACAGTTTTAAAATTAAATCTTGCTGAAACAGCAAGTTTCTCAGTGGAACTGCACTCGAAAGGTGCCCCCTTGCTCTGTCGGCGGTTGGGTGGGCGCTCTTGGCTGGGCCGTCCTTGCTTGGGAATGGTGGCCTCTCTGGGCGACGGGCCGGCTATGGGGCTGGGGTCGAGTTTTGGGGGTCTGGGTGGCTCTGAGGGGGTGGGGTGTTGGTCCCGGTTTCTGGTGGCCTTTGGGGCTCTGTCAGTCCATGGTCTGGGGTTCCGTGGGCTTGGCGTTTGCCTGGAGGGAGAGGTATTTGGGCTGCTCTTCCTGGGTGGGTTTGGGAGAAGGGGAGGGCTTACTGGGGCCAACGGGGGAGCTGACTCCCTGTGGGAGTATTTTGCTCCTTCAGCTTATTCAACTTCACCCATGTAGGGTTTTTTGGGGCACAGTTGTGTTATAAGAGCAACAATATTACATTTCTATTKTGCCATAACCACCTGGGCCCCAAATTTTATTGTACATCTTAGACATTCATTCACAACATTTTCATGAAATTCACATATAGGAACTTATGGTGGGCACTCATGGCTATAGGTGGCCGGATGGCACCACTCTCGCCTCCTGTGCCTGTGCCCACCCTCCAAGGTTTGCATATAGACACTTAGGGTTTTGGGTTAGAGTAGTGGTGGAGGGGAAACTGGCACCACGCCGGCCTCTGCCTCTTCTTCTTTCCCTTTTTAATTACACTATAGAACAACACGCACCAACAGTACATCTGGGGGTGGGGTGTGGGTGTCAGGGTCTTTATTCCCATCCCGTTCCCCGACTGCCATTTGGGGAGGGGGTCCTGAAGAAGGGCGGGCCGCCAGGTGCGGTCCTGGGCTGTGGTTGGGCTCGGGGCTTGGACGGTTGCCGGGGGCGGGGCTGGCTCTCCATCCTCCCTGGTGCTGCTTGGTCTCCTGAGGTGTGGCTCTTGGTTCCTGTGGGTGGCCCGCTGGCCGGGGTGGCTGCTGGGTTCCAGTGGGTGGTTGGTTGGGGGGAGGGGGTGCACTTGGTCATTGGCTGTGTGGTGGGGTGGTCATGGGTGTGGCTTCTCTGCGGTGGGGGGCTGGCTGGGCGTCCTGGTGCGGCCCGGGCCGGGCCTTGGCTATCTGCTCCTCTCCATCTCAGAATGATTGGGTCTACCTCCTGGGTTCGGGTGTGTGCTGCCTTCACTAGGGGGTGGGTGCATGTCCTGGACCTGGGGGGTATAGAGTGTGTATCTGGGGTATGAGTAGACTGTGGCATCTTTGTATGTCTTTCATTGAGTGGGGGTGAGGATCAGGGTGGGATGGTGTGATTGTGTATGTTTGGGTATTTGTCAGGCTGCGGTCTGGGCTGCCCCTACTGCTGGTTTATCTGGGGACCCGCTGCTACTCTGCCCCCCGGTGGGGTGTGCGGCTGGCCACTAGCGTGCTGGGGGTTCCCGGGTTCTGGGGCTGGGCGCTGGGGTGTGTGCCGGCCTGGCCTGGTGACTGCCTGCTGGGGCTCGGGAACTCTGGACCTGTCTGGCTTTGGCCTGGAGGGGGTGCACCCTGGGGGGCCCGGACCTCTGTGCCCTTTCCTGGATCTGCTCTGGTATGGCGGGTGCCGGAGGGGCCCATGACTGCTCACAGACAGGTGTTCTGATCCGGGGGGTTCTGACTGGTCACTGAGTTTGTAAAAATGTTTATGTGTATATACGGACAATATTTATGAATGTAGGCATGTTTGTATATCTTTATATATGTATGGGTATGTGTATATTTTTATATATGCCCTCCATGTATTTATACATTTATTTTTCAGGTGAGTGGACAGATGTTGGGTGTGTGGTTCTGTGTTTTGTTGGTGTATATTTAATAAACTTCTAATCACTATTTCAATAATTCTATCTTTCTAACTATTTCTCTCTGTTTTTCTCTCTGTCTCTATTTTCTCTTCACTTAAAAAGTCACTGATGATGAAGAAATAAATAAACTACAGGCAACTCATTTAATGGCTGGTCCATTCTTTTATTAAAGGACCTTTTACTTTTTACCTTAAATCTTGGTGTGTAGCCTGTCTTTCCATTGTTTTTATCCTGCTTTTGCTGTCGACGGAGCACCACCTGCACATCACCGTTCAGTGTGAGCACCTGTGCACCTGCCAATCTGGTCTGTAAACTAATATTTGGTTTCGTTTTCTACTGAAGTGACACAAAAAAGGAACTGCACTCGAAAATGCAGCCTAGGTCGAGTAGTCGAACACAGATCCACTGATCCTTCAACACAGAGCATCTTCAGAAGATATACTGATAAAATACATTTAAAAACTCTGTATTGTTCGATACAAGTGTATATCGAACCCAAAGCACTGTATTGAACGGTTCGATATGGGTACATGTATTGTTGCACCCCTAACACACACACACACGTGTGTGAGATGGACAGATGCAAAGTAGAAAAATGTCCTGTGGTCTGATGAGTCCTCAGTTCAAATTGTTTTGGAAATCATGCACGTGGTGTCCTAAAGGCCAAAGAGGAAAGTGACTGTCTGGATTGTTATCAGCAC